ACACTCCGAATATCCAGATGTGGATATGCCGGGCTGCCCTGGTATAACTAGGTGCACGATGGCTTGCGCTGAGATTCCTAGAAGTAGCCACAATGGTCTTTTTCAAGGCTTAGCTAGCTGAAGGATTTTGGGTCTCTTGTCCTAATCCATGGGGAATCGGGCCTCAGAGACGAAGGAGGCACATTACGCAGTACGCCTTATGGACGGCTGCCTTAGAACCCTAAAGTTGTTACCAAGTGCACTAAGGTAACCTACGGTTTCCAGAAGATTCCTACGGCTTGCCCTTCGAGTAGTAAAGTTGTGCTAGACTTATACAACCGCATATTCTTGTGAAAGGTTAAACAAGCTAGCATGCATACACGAAGCTTTATCTATTACTGACATGTTACGTAGTCGATAAACTCACATTTGCCAAGCGCGAAACGACCTACACCAAGTTCTAAAGTGTTGTGATACTTGCTACGCAACCTACAGAATTGGAGAAAGCCAAGGTTAATAGCCTAGTGGTCAAGCGGACTTGTCTGCTTCTGTAAGTAGGGCATCTGGCTACTAGCCCTATGGCTAACAACTTTACAAAGTTCTACACCAACACCTATGACTGCATAAGCTATGTGGCCTATTTGCTTATAGAAAAGTAGCATGCATGCCACTGGTCTATAAAGTCTTAAAGGTTAGGGCATGAACAAAAGAAGCGAAGATGGAGAAAAGTGAAAGAAGCAAGTTTATTAAATTTTCTAGCAAAATTAATAAACGATTATCAAAAACTGAAACAATTCAAGCAAAGCAAAAACAACAAGGAAAACAAAGAAAATCCTAATGACTACATAGAAAACTATTCCTCAGTAGCTTGGACGCTCCATGACTACTCGGTTGCCACACCTTCAGCAGCCGCGGCACCCTCAGCAGCGACATCATCCAGCGCTTCATCCCTGGTTACCCTAACCTGGGCACCAACTTCTTTGACTAATTCATTAATGGAAGCCTCAAAAGCAAAGGCAATCAATTCTTTCGAAGAAATAGGGAAGGTTTCGAAGTCTTTCCTAGCAAACTCGAAGTCAGATGGCCTACCAAATAGATGATCTACATAACCTAGCTTGTAGAAATCGGCATGAATCTGAACAAACGAAGACTTAAGCCCAACCTTTTTACCCTTCAGCTGCTCGTTCTCCTTGAGTAAACCAACACGGATGCACTGCAGCTTATCTATTTATTTCTTCAAACTTTCGTTGATCTTCAGCGTACCTTGGAGTTCCAACACTTGGGGTTCAAGCCTATTAACGACCTTCTTGAAGTGGATCACTTTGTTATAAGCAGCAATCAACCCTTCATCATTTGCATAAGCAGCAGAACGAAGCTCAAAAATGGCACACTCAAAATCTTGAATCTAAGGTATGTAACATCCGATCTCATTCTCTGCACTTTCATACTTAACTTGGATTACGTCAAGCCTAGTCTTCAAGTCAATGATCTCTTTGCGAGTGATCTCAAGCTGCAGAGAAGTGAGGGCAGAGATATTAGACCCCTTCAAAGTGACGAGCTCAGATTCTAACCTATTGATCTTCTCGGCAGAAGAATAAGCTTTGACTACCACAATTTTTGCCACCTCTTTGGCAGCCTTGTTATCCTTTTGGTTAAGGAGCATAAACTCGGCTACTAGAATAACTGTCTTCTGCATCATGGAAAGTAGGGCAATCTTCCTATACTCGGTCGTATGCTTCACAAATGAACTTAGGCAAATAACCCCTATAATGCTATCGACAAACTTGGCACAAGCATCCATGTCTTCAAGCATATCTGGTTTTAAAATCGCACAGATCTCAACAGTCTCCCCATAAGCAGGCTTGGTGGATTTCTCACAACTGCCCACGCGAGCAGTCTTCTCTTTCCTAGCAGGCGAATCAGTTTCAACAATAGGGAGAGTGAGCCTTGGCGCCACTTTAGCAGTAGAGTCCACTTTATCATTTTTCATGATAACAAGTCTCTTCAAAGGTGAACCGGACTTAACTCCCAATGGATGTCTTGGTACAGACTTCAGCATCGAGGGCATGACATGACCTCTACGCTGAGCAATCCTATCAGCAATCATACTAGCCATTCTCAACATGGCAGGCATCGTAGGCTCAAATCTAGCAGCCTTATTTTTCTTCCCATTGGAATAAGTCATGTCAATCACATGCTTCTCAGCAACAAGCCGACCGTTACGAGCAGCGGAGGCAGTCTTCAGTTTTTTCTCAACTGGCATCTCTTAAGCAGGCGGGGAATATTTCTTCTTTCCACCTTTATTCATAGTAGGCTCCACGACAACGATTAGACAAACCAATGCATCCGCCTTGATCTTCTTTACCTCCTATCTTGGGAGCATCCCACTTTCCTCCCAGCAAATAGGACTAAGTAGCCAATGCCATTCATAGTGCTCAACAGGGGAGCTCAACCCATAATGGTTTTTCCCCTATTTTTTCTTTCGGACCAGCAAGTATGAGGCTTGCATGCCCAGCATTCCAGCAGCCTATGAGGTCCGCGACCTCTTCATTTTTCTCAATCGCCAGCATAGCCCACGTCAGGTCCAATAGCCCAAAGGATATGAGCCATGTGGCTAGCTTAACACTGCGCCCTAGCACCTCAATAGATGAACCAGTCACAGCAGCAGGGGAGTGGGCTTTGGCACCACTTTAGCAGTAGAGTCCACTTTATCGCTCTTCATAATAGCAAGTCTCTCCAAAGGTGAACCAGACTTAACTCTCAACGGACATCTTGATACAGACTTTAGCATTAGGGGCATAACATGACCTCTACGCTGAACAATCCTATCAGCAATCATATTAGCCATTCTCGACATGGCAGGCGGCACAGGCTCAGATCTAGTAGCCTTATTTTTCTTCCCATTGGAAGAAGTTATGTTAATCACAAACCTCTCGGCAGCAGGCGGACCCTCATGAACAACGGAGGAAGTCTTCAATTTTATCTCAACCAACATCTCTTGAGCAGGCGGGGAATATCTCTTCTATCCACCTTCATTCATAGTAAGCACCACGATAATGATCAGACGACCAAATGCATTTACCTTGATCCTTTTTACCTCATTTCTCGGGAGCAACCCATCTTTCTCCTGGCAAAAAGGACTAAGCAGCTAACGCTATTCACGGTGCTCAGCAGGGGAGCTCAACCCATACTGACTCTTCCCTCATTTTTTCTCTCGGACTAACAGGTAAAGGCTTGCATGCCCAGCATTCTAATACCCCATGAGGCCCACGACATCTTCATTTCTCTCAATCGCCGACATGGCCTACGTCAAATCCAAGAGCCCAAAGTGCATAAGCCATACGGCTCGCCTAGTACTGCACCCCAACGCCTCAATCCGCGACCCCAATCGCACAAGCTGCCCTTAGCTCTAGCCAAGCCGAGCAGCCCAAGCAGTGGTTCCAACCATAACACCTTATCAGCCCATACCTAGCCAACTCCTGGCCCTTGTTAGCCGACGTGCCGCACCACCCCGACAGCTGCCCCGCGACAGCACTATCCAAGAAGAAAACGATGAAAGATGGTCATTTGCATGGGCAAGTGTAAAAGATTGCTAGGGGAGGGGGAACAAATATCCTCTAGTTTTCTCTCTATTGTAGGGTACAATAAATTGCTCTCTAAAGTTAATTTAATCATCTACTTAAGGTAGACTTAAATAGACTTTAGAAGTGATTTATTTTCCTTTCCTATAAGGATCTAATTTTCAATTAAGGAGGGAATCTACATCAAAATAGGAAACAATTCTACATTTCCTAAAGCAAGAAGATCTTTACACCTGCTGTCATTTCTTGCAAGTAGCCCAACAGGTGTAGGGGCATTTGTGGAGCCAAAAATAATCAAGAAAAATATGGAGGTGACACATGGATTTTTGGGCAAAAAAGACAAGATTACCCTCAAGGCACATCGGAACTCCTACGTGCGAGCAGCAGACAATCATTACTCAATCAAGGTCAAAAGTAATCAAAATATGTATTTATTCAAAAACTTATTTCATCCATCCTCATCAAATCCTCCCAACAAGGTAACCTCCAAATATTCATTCAAAATAGGATTAATTACCTAAATTAATTAATTGATTTTCTAATTAATTTCCTAATTGATTGCAAGATATTATGGTGACATTATATCTTGCAATTACACCCCAAAACCACCAAATGTGGCCGGTTCGCACCTCTGCAAAGGGGGTCGGCCACACCCCTATAAATACCACTTCATTTCTCCAAAAACCTAAGTTGAATCATCTTGCAAAATTCTCTAAATTCTCCGAACATTTTTCCCTCAAAATTCTAACTTTGGCATTGGAGGTTCTTTAGCCAAAGCCCCCCCCCCCTTCATCATGGGCGTGTGAGGCTCTTGGCCTTGACCTAAGGTGTTAATTGTTTTTGTAGGTGCATTTTTGTCCAAGAACAAGAAGAAAGAAATTTGCATCCACACATATGCCCCAACATGAAACACAAACCTTAATTTAACTTCTAAGTATTAATTCATCTTACAAACAACCCATTTATTCCATAAATCATTGATGAATAAACTTGGAACTAAACACACTACCTTGATATGCCTGCCGAAGCTTTAGTTGCTGGAAAAAATGGAACTTTCCGACAAAAACAGAAAATATGGTTCAAAACTCAGCTCACTCTTCTCAGCTCTATCTCACATCCCTTGTTCGAAATCAAAGGTATGAGGTGAATCTAAAGTTCATTTATGCGGGTATTTTAGTAATCCATTCATGTGTGAAAGAAGAGAGAGGAAGGGAGAGAAAGTAGAGAGAGAAAAATTAGAAAATGGGAGAAATAACCCATTTATGTGGGTATTTTAGTAATTTTAATTTTATGCATGGCTTGTTTATGACTAGTTTGTCATATTTATATCCCAAGATTAAGAATTTGTTCCATTTTAAAGTATTTTGCTAGTTTTTATTTCCCATCTTTTATTGTGTTGAATCCTTAGACGGGCTTGGGCCCGTGGTTATAACTTATATCGAAGAAAAGGCGAACATGTGGAGACCGAAAATCAAAAGAGAAATTATCCCAAAAACAATTACGAGTTACGAACTTACGACATCCCTCTCCCACTGGTTTCTACTTCTCGCTCCCTAGTCTTCACCATCAGCTAGTGCCCACCGCCACCGCCGCCTTCGTAAGTTGGTTTTTCATCTTCCAAACACTTGTTGGGAATTCATCCATTTCTTCTTTTGTTCTCTTACAACTTTTATTTCTACCATTTCTCTTCCTTTAATTTAATTTTTTTATTCTATTTCTTTCTAGTTTAGGGATATAGGGATTTAGGGTTTAGGCATGGCAGAGCTATGTAATGGAAATACATTGGAAGAAGATTTGCTTTCTTCTGTTGGCTGTGCTTTGATTTGCAATAGCAAGGAATTGGTATCACAAATGAATATTGGAACTTTTAAATTTGATCGCTGAATCACGTCTAATTGTCATTATCTCTAGTTTTGATTGAAGATTTTAAAAAAGGGAACTTTGTGCTCCCTCCCCGTTACTTTGATGTGATTTTTCTAATAAAAATGTGGCCACCGGAAAGGTAAAGAGGGCCGGATTTTTTTTACCTTTTTCGTTTTTTTATGATATCTTTTGTTGCCAAGAAAATACATGTCTTGGCTTTGTGTCTCTGGAGAAAATCTTTAGTTTTCATTTCTGATTCTTCTGGAAACTGTTGGGCTCAATACTTTATTGATTCTGTTTTTTGGCTAGTATTTTAGGATTTTCCATGATTTGAGACTTTATTTTGATTTTTTTCCAAAACTTAACTATATACGACTTAATCAATTACGTAATGCAAGAAGTTTTCTATTTTTCAATTCATACTTTGCGTTCTAATTTTTAATTTTTCCTCACCTATGGGTTTCTTGCATTCAACTTGACAAATGTAGTAGCAATATATAGATCGTGGAATTGTTTGAATGGAGAATAGACTTTGAAAGAGCGTAAGCTAGCTCTTCTATGATCAGTTAGCTAGGTCCCTTAATTTTTTGTGGTGCAGAAATTAGTAGAAGAAAGATGGGTTCGAGAAGGTCCTAAAAATCTTGTGTTTGCTAGTTGGGTTTGGTTCTGCATTTCTATTAATTCAACTTGAAGGTGCAAAAACGAATTGGATTTCATGCATGAATGAGTCAGTGACCAGTTACCTCAATATGCATCTTTTGACCGGTGACCAGTGACCATGGGTGTGAATCCATGTATAAGTTATGAAAGTGATTAACACGTTCTGTTAAATTTGAAAAACGTCATAAAATGGGGGGAACTCTACCAAAATTTATTTTGAAGAGTTTGATTTAAAAGTTCTTTGCTCTGAAAACGATTCATATGCATGTGTCTATAATGAGTTTTTTAATCTTAAAATAACTATTCAGGGATTTATTTTGTATATGCAAGTGACTACTCAGTTTCTTACATCCTTGTAGGGGGATACCTCAAAAATGTTTCTTCGTTGTTGCTCAGTTTGGTTCAGTATTCGATTAATTTAAAAATCATACGTATGCATGTGTGTAATGTATATAAGGAGGTGTGTCTTTTTGTGTGTGCAAGTGAATACTCTGTTGTGGGGTTAGGTTCATTACGTCTTCCTAAACCCTTGTGTTTAATTCATTCGCATCGTCTAATTGTTTGAATCTTGTTATTCAGTTCATTTGTATGTTTAAAACTGGTTTTGTAAGTTTGGGACATTCTGAACAGACAAACAAGCGAATAAAATATCCATGAAACTTTTAATCTAGGGAAAAAAGGAGTATGTAAGGTCAGATATATAGCAGCAATATTTTGCAAAAATGAGCCACGGGGACTGATGCATGGAATTCTATTACTTAATAACTGAAGCAGATGTCAACTGGTGATAATATTGTGTAACAAATATATTTATACGTTATATACTGAATATATCTAAACTTTATAGTTAGCCGCCCCAACTCCTTCATTTGCTTGCTCTCTCTCTCTCTCTCTCTCTCTCTCTTGACAGTTTATTGGTTGATTTATTCTGCTTTATTTTGTTTGGGCAGCTGGAGAATTCTTCTCTTTGGTTGAAGACATGGTGGGTTGGCAGAAGCATGTACAGTCCCTAATCCGTCAAGTTGGGAAAAGAGTGGAGAATTATAGTACTTCTTCCTTTTCTCCTTGTCATTTTCTGAAACTCCAGACACCGCCTTCTCAAACCATGTCAAGGCCCCTTTATCACTACTTTCAACAGTTGGTAAGGCACAAAACTCGTCTGATTTTCTCTTTCCTTTTGTTTTAATTGCCATTTAATTATTGTATTCGCTGTTTTCCATATCACAAGGGAATTTCCACTTCAAGGAACTTGCTTGCAGATTTGTCTGCTGGAGTTACTCCTCTACCAGCATCAGATGGTGAAAAAGGTGAAGAACAGGGCCGGAAATCACCCTCTGGACCTTCACAAGTTCAATTTGTCTTAAAGGGAATTAATCAGGTTACCATATTTCACACTTGTTGCATCTTTTTAAATAATTGTTTTTCCTTGGGCTGCAGGTTGGGGTGGGGGTGGGGATGTTATACATTGAAATGGGCATACATTTATTAGTTTTAGCTCACTCCCTGCTTGCTTGTAGAGCCCTAATAAGGTCAACTTGGTTGCCAAACTGGTTCGTGGTATGCGTGTTGAAGATGCATTATTGCAACTGCAAGTGACAGACAAGCAAGCTGCAAAAACTGTGCATCAGGTGATAGAGCCCTTCCTTCCACACTTGTTGAGCTTGGAAGCCTGTTAATTAGATAAATACTCGGTGTGTGTGTGTGTGTGTGTGTGTGTGTCATTGAGTATTTTGTCTTACAAAATGATATTCATTTCTTACAAATTATAGTAATCATCATGTGAATGATTTAATATTTTGAATAGGATATTGGCTTCGGTGTTTTTTACATAATTATTTGATTATGCTCATCTAGAACTCACAGATGAAGAAATGTCTAATATTTGGATGTGTTTCACAGCCTCTAGAGGTTTTGTATTTTTCCTTTGAGTCATAACCTTTTATAACAAAATATTAACATTAATTAAGACCGACGCTACTGTTCGCAGGCTCTTCACTCAGCCCGGGCAGATGCAACTTATAATCATGGGTTGGATCCAGAACGTCTTCTCGTTGGTAAATAATGCAAGTGCAGTAATGTTTCCTCTATTTATTCTATTATTTTTCTTAAAAATCAATTCTCATTGCTCTGCTTTCTGTCCTTCTTGCAGCTGGGGCCTTGGTTGGAAAGGGATTCGTGGGATTCCGCAAGAACAGACTTTACTACCATGGTAAAAGCAATGATGGAACTAAAGTGAGACCAAATTACCAACTAACGGTGATGCTAAGGGAGATAGCTCCCGAAGAGGAGGAGGAGATAGCTAAACAGAGGGTTAACAATTTTCTCTATCTCAAGAAACGCCTCAGGCTCACGAAGCAGGAAAATAAATTTGTTTCTCACTACATTACCAGCGATCACAAAGGCAAAGCCAGTACCAGTCGACCAAGTGGTCTGGCTTCATGAGCAAGCTTCCGTCCCATGGCTTGAAAGATTTTCGAGATGCATTTCGAGAGCTCCTCCTTTGTCGTTGCTATTCAATAAAATATCATGTACAAGAGTGAAAAACCAAAGTGTCAAGAGTAGGATCAAGCGGGTCGTTGTCTCAGTTTCTGTTGTTTTAAATGCTCAGATGTAGAATATCTCAAGTCATTTTTATTTAATTGGTGCATTGAGAGAATATGGTTCTACTTCCTTCTCCTTTTGCACCATGCCTTCATTTCAGCTAGACAGATGAATAGATAGCACCCTCTTGGTTATGAGTAACTATTGTGCATGCTTTGTTTTTCCTTATTAAAAAAATGAACCGGCTATGACTTCGTCACAGTAGCCCACTCTTTCAGGGGCCGAGAAGACTCACAAAAGCATTTCAGCATCTCCTTGGTTATCGCAATTCACTAGCGGCAGGAAACAAATCTAGGACATGCTTGTGGAATACGGGCTTAGAATTCATCCTTAACCACTGGACCACCCCGTGGTGGTTAACTGTTGTGTATGCTTGGAATGCTTGTTATGCGGTGTACTTCTTGTATGTTATCCAAGAGAATTTACCGTGTATGGAGAACGTGACCACTTGATCTTACTATTCCACTGAAGTTATAATATGTATTTGCTTTTTAATATACATCAACCATGACGCCCACCTATTGTCACGTGGTGTACTTTGCGTGAGTGGTCAATTATGTGAAAAATAGGATCAATAAATGGGAATTCATTGAATTTAAGTGAGATCTTCAATAGTGGTACGTATTTAATGTGGAAAGGTACATCATGTGATAAGTGTTCCAAATACATATAAAATTTCTCATGTTACGTGTTATCCTCACACTTCTTTTTATTTTTCATACACATCTATCAATTTCTAACCATCAGATTAAATGAATTGAAGAGAATTAAAAGACAAAAATTAACATGGAGTTTGTAAGAGGTAAAAAGATGTGTGTGGATAGTATCACAATTTTTTTTTTGGTGCAAAAATCATTTCTTTCCTTAAAATCACAATTGAAGATGTATTCAACTAGGATTTCCATTGTGATTTTGAAGGATTTTGATTCCCTTATAAATCTAGGGTATTCATCTAGATTTTAAATAATTCTATAAATTTTAGGTGTATTCATTTAGAACTTTAAGAGAGATTAGCATAGGAGCACACACTTTGTGTGTGTGAACAATTTCATTTTGTTTTGTTCTGTTTTTATTTATTTATTTATTTATTTTTATTAAGGAGTGTGATTAGTTTTTAAAATTTTAAAAAGAGTATGAAATAATGATAATAAGTGCATATTTTTTTCTTAATATTACATAATTAATGTTTTGTCTTCCTTATGTAAATATTGTGTATCAAAAGTGAGGGTAAAATAGAAATATGATTGTCATTTTAAAAAAGAGAGGGTAAAATAGGAAAAATAGGGATATGATTGTCATTTTCTTAAAAGATACAAAATTACTGTTTTGTCTTTCTTATATCAATATTGTGTAACAAAAGTGAGGGCAAAGTAGAAAAAAATTGGGGCAAAAAGTTGACAAGGAGGATTTTCTTAATAGAATAGATTTTAAAGTCCAAGTGTATTTGATCAAAATTGATTTTAAAGGATTTTTTATTTTTTATTTTTTATTTTTTAAAATAAATGGAGATGCAACACCTAGATCTAGCTCAAAGAGTTACTATTACAAACAAGGTGAGTCTTAGAGACCCAGTCATGTCATCAAATAAATGACTCCCAATTCATTCAGGTGGATTCTCAAAATATTAGTGCTCAAGATCTATATTATAGCTTCAATTAGCAGAACAAGGATTTTAAAACATGTCGGATTTCATGAAAATTGAAGGATATTTTTAATGTATTTTAATCAATTACAAATATCACATCTTCCCATAAAATTTTGAGAAAATTCATTTAGAATTTATAAAAAAAATCTCCATCAAGCTCCATAGATTAAAATAAATCCACTAAAATCCCTAAATTATGAGTGGGCACGGGTCGAGCCGGGTCCATTTTTAGTGGATTCGGCCCAACTTGTTCTTTTTTTAAATGAGTTTGAGCCAGTCTAGGTTTATATATGTTTATTAATGGAACCAATTCATTTGGATTCGTTTGATAATCGTATGGTATCTACGGGTTGAAGGAATCCATTTACAATCATATATCGTATAACAAGACAACAATATAAAACAATCTTAATGTGTTTCCACAATGAAAAAAATTACGTTTAACAAAACCAATACCAATAAATGTTCTAAAGGAAATCAAAACTCCATAAATTCAAGAGACCACTTAGGCTACTAAAACCACCTTATGGCCCTAACTGAAATAAATCAAAGAAAAACCTGATTTTACATCGGACCGGGTAAACGGTCCGCATCGGTTCAAAGACCCGTGTGACCATCCCCCCCCAACCCCCGCCCAACTCAAATTGAAACTCAAAAGTCTCATCAAATTCTCCGCGCGCTGAAAAAACCTCATCCCCTCCACGAAGCCACTGCACAGGCGAGCAGGTGTTGAAGCAGATACGGCCACGAAGCCACTTCAACTTCTGCGAAGCTGCACTGCAGGTATACATTTCCGATTTCCCACTCACTTTCCCCTTAGAATCTTGTGTAAAACCTGCTTCGTCAATTGTTTAAGTCATTTTTCATGATGCTGCTCGAATTTAATTTGCTGTTAAAGCATATTTCTAGTGAAGTTGAATTACTCGTGGTTCGTATTTTCTGTGGATTTAGGGTTCAGGGTTTTTGCCTCGCAATCTTTTGTGTGTTTTCGATGGGGACGAAGGAATTGGACATGAAGAAAGCCTTCAAGCTGGCCATACGTTCTCTGCTCACTCCCTGTTCCAAGCAGGTGTCTTTTTCTCTTAACAATTTCTTCTTCTTTACAGTGATTTGTGTTGCGTAGCGTCTGCGATTTTCTTTTTAATTCTAATCTTTTGAGTTTATGCATTTCTTCCTCGCGGATTCGTAATTTGACTGATTTTCTTGTATGATGAATTGAACACATAAGGAATTCTGCCAAGCATTTCCGAATTTTACAATTGCCGAGCAAGAACACCTTCATAGGCTTTTTATCCAGGTGCATATGAATATATATTTATCATTTTACAATGGACCTACACATTTTGTTTCTTTTCTCCGCAATTTCTATGTGCAATGATTTATATGTATTATTCAACTGGAGATTTTTCTCTTTTATTTCATTATTTTGAATTTAGAATAAGAACAATTTCTCGTTCGTTTATTCAGGTCATCGCTTCTTTGCATGGAAATTTAGAGGTACTCTTTTTCTTACCAATTTGCACTACTAACAATGGTTTCGATTTAAAGATATGGTTGAATTGTCTGTATCCGTGGCTCTCAGTCTCATCAGGACTATTATTGTTTTTGGGAAAGTATAGTGTAGGGGACTTATTTCTGTGCACATTGATTTCGTATTTTAGCCGCCAAGCATTTTTTAAGGTAATGATAGTTGATAACGGATTGACATATGATATTTAATCATTCATAACAAATGCAATTTGAATTCTAGCCAGCTTATAGGTTGTTAAGTGAACCAAATTCATTCCATTAGTGAGGATTCATGACCTAGTTGAATGACAAATAGTATCTGCATTTTCTGGCTCATCTGATTGATGAACAAAGCGTCCACAAGCACCACTTCTATGTTTCACTCAAAACACCTTATAAACAGAATTTTTTTGGATTCTCTCCCTCAACATGAGACATGATATTTATTTATGTATTTATATGTCATAATGTATAATTTATAATGCTATAAGATGAATTCTGAACTTCCTTTTAATTTTACAGGACGAGTTTCAGTCAGCATGCCTTGAAACACAGGTATACATATTAATATTTGCTGGTGATGTTAGTGTGCAGTTACTCCATTTAACAACTTACAGTATGTAGATTCTTCTGTGCCATTAGGATGCAAGTTATTTCCTAAATTAGAGAGAGTATGTTGTAAGTTAGGGAGGTCACTTTAATTAGCCCAAGCATATATTCTGGTGTCTAAAGCCTACTGGTTGTTATTAAGAGTTCCAATTGGGTCTTATAGTTTATTTGCGTCTCAATTGATACGTTATTCATGAATTTCTTTTCAGCGTGTCTGTGTTGAAATGATTGCAGCTTGATTGTAGAGGTAATTTAGCAAGAAATGTTCACGCCACTCGATGAGCTATCACCACTATTTAAATGGTCGTTTAGTTGCACCTTTTATTTAGGAAATGAATACATTAGCTTTGACATGTTTTTTTTTTTTTTTTTTTTTTATATATATATATATAAAAGTTATGGTTTTAATAACAGGAAAAAGGATGATAACTGGTTTCAGTGCAAGTTATTAAATTGGGGTCAGTTCTGATATCAGAAGACAGTGCAGATGAAAATTTTAGTAAAAGAGAATTATAAAGGACAGAGAAGGTAGAAATACATTTAGTTATCTGTTATCGACATGCGTCTGCTGTGCCTTTGACTTAGCAGTTTCAACGAAGGGTTTTATGACAAGAGGGAACTAATGGTGGCTTATTGATGATTCCTAAGACCCAATTCATTTGTGTTTTATCAAGAGAGTTGCCTATTAACTTGGTTGAAGTTCTAAAGTTATTGTTTTATGCAAGCAACAGGAAGTATTTCTCTAATTGTTACAGATTTTGACATTATTACAGTCTTAAAGGAATCACCTGTTTAACAGACAGAATGTTTAGATGATTAATGTTGAGTAAGGAACACTAGAATTTGTGGCTATATGATGTCCCTTATGTGTTTATACACAGTATACAGTTAGAAGTATTAAGCAAATTAACCATGCACTGATGTTTTTTTTACTTAACTATTAGTTCAAGATCCTCTTTTTTTAACTTCTTAGATACAAATCCATCATTGTATTTATTATTTGCACCCAATATATTTTCTTTTTATACGTGGTCTCTTTTTGCTCACAGGTGGGAACTGTTCTGGACACTGTTGAACAACTTGTGGAAGAACAAGCTATGGATCCTTTGTCTAAAGATAAGTAAGTATCTTCTTGATTCTGTAAAAATGTATTTAGATATGGTCTCCTTTGTAACACCTTCTCCATAGACAAAAATTAAAATGAACAAGAAACCAAGTTTTGGTTGACTGCTCAATTGCCAAGAACTGTATGTGTACTGTAGTTTTCTTCTATTTCATTTTTAGATTGATAAATCCTCCTAGACGTAATGCAATATATGCCATCATGTTTCAATAGAATGGTTCTAAGTACAAAATATATGTCCCTGCAGAACATATGAACGAGAGGGGGAAGAGACCAATTTATCACCATGTTCTTTCTGTTAGAATCATCTTAACTATAGATATTAAATGTTTGATTTTTAGGCTACTGTTCATTTTCTTTGTTACTATGACAGACGGGGAGTGTTGTCTATTTTTCTTTTGTTATTTGGGTAGACAGCGAGCATTATCCTTGAGAATATCCATCTTTATCTAATTTCTTTACGTTTTGTAATTTCTTACTATTAAGCTAAACTTCATTGTTTAAATGTTTAGTTACTCATGCAGGACTAATCTAATGGATGTTGCTCGTGATCTGTCCACAATGAAGAAGGATGAAATCCAGAACTTGACACAGAGGCTGGGAATGGTAGATATATTCGTAATTAAATCCAATTAAAATTTGATTAGTAGAGATGAAATCTTCTTTTTTTTTTTTTTTGTTGGAATTTTCCAAAAAAGGACGTCTTTATAGGTTTCTTTGTTGTAGAATTCAAGGTTTGTAGGGTCTCTTCTTTCTCGTCCATTGAGATCAGTCGAGATTAAATCCCAGCGGTTGGGATATGCACCGTGTAATAGTTACCAAGAACTTGTATTAGTAAACGATTTTCACCCTTTCACTGGTTCATAAAACTGGTACGTGATAGGATATGCAGTTATGAAAGGAGGTCTTACTGGCAAATAGTGCTCTGGCAAGCGGAAAAATAATATGCACTAGGTATAGAAACTGCAGTTATGAAAGGAGGTCTTACTGGCAAATAGTGCTCTGGCAAGCGGAAAAACAATATGCACTAGGTATAGAAACTGCAGGTGTTCTGAAATTAAAAAGAAACCAGCCAATGTAAGTTTGAACCCTTTTAAAGGTTTCATGTTTCAGCGTTATTTCTCTAGATGCTACATTGCACAAATCCATGCACACATATCCGCAGATTATCTTTGGTAGTTGGCCCACTTAGGTTAAAGACACCGTTAGGTTGAAACCTGTGTTATATTTTCTGTAACATTTCTGACATTGTTAACTTCTGTGGTTAGACGATCCTTAAAATGTCTTTGTCATTAAATGCATGGGTTTCAGTTGAAGTTCACTGATTCACCAATGTTTCCTTTAACTTGTACGCTACGGTAACTTTTCCTAGTTTCTGCTCGTGCTTGGCTGTCCAGAAACTTTTCATGGGATTGATGGTTTATAGCTATATAACATGCAAACAAGGTGGTTGATGTCCTCTTAATATAATGTGGCAGTCTTTCTTGCTTTCTCTGACTCACTCATGCACAACTACACGCACACGATTTCTTGTTGATGTGAAACCTTCTTCTGAATAACTCCTCCCCTTCCAAAAATTACCTTATCTCATTGAATTTATTTTCTCGCAGTTTGAAATGAATGTTTGTTTGTAGTTGCAGATTATAGTATATGGGTTTTGCTTGTTTATATTTATTTGTTTGAACTTGCCAAATTTAGGCTAAGCAACAGAACCACCATCTTCGGGATCATATACAACTTTTAAAGAAAGAAAGGGTAGATTTGTCAGGCTTGGAGGATGCTGTTGAGAAGGTACACTTTTACCTCTTCATCTTTTCGTTTTTTTTTGCAGCCCCATCCTCAAGAGTCTTGTAGTTTCAACGTTATAAACCCTTTTGCAGTTGAGAAGTGGGAGTTTAATGTACGGAAATGTCGGACAGTAGCAGCAGTGCCCGTAGGTGATGATCCACGACACCCCGTTGGTCGTCTTATGTGCTTTTGGCTTGTACTTTTCAAGTAATCAGAATCATCCTCAGTTGCTAATTGTAATGAAGCTCCCAAGTGCAGGTTTGGTAATTTATCAATATTTTCTTTTTATTTTCTGGAAAATGATTGTTGACCAGTATTCTCACGAGAGTAAACCTAACTTATATAAATGATTGACGAATATCTGACAGTAACCCTAACTTATATTTTGTACTTTGTTTCGATTACAAAGTTGGAGGTTTTCGTCTTTAAGGAAAGATGTTAATCATAGGGTTTACTCGGACTGTATTCATGGACTCATTGTTAGGGCCCTTAGGCGGCATACATACAGAGGAAGCCTTTAAGGAAAGGAATTCCCTTTTTCTTTTTTCTTTTTTTTCTTTTTTTTTAATTATTATAAAAATAGGAATTAGTTGTGGGATTCACACCACATCGAACTTTAACGATCCGAACCGTTTATTTTTCAAGTTGCACCTCATAGATCATCCTTGCAAAATATTAGCTTAATCGGAAATATTTAAGACGTTTAATTGGGTTCAAAGAAATGAATGAATATTTTGTTATATAAGAAACAATGAAATTTGATCTTGATAATTAAATAGGCAAATAATTTCAAAATGAATTGAATTTTTGCAAGGATAATCTATGAATCGAGACTTATAAAATAGATGGTTCGGATCGTTGAAATTTGATGTGAAGTGAGCCTCACACCTAATCCCTATTTTTTTCAAAAAATAAGGATCCCTTTGCATAAATAGCCTGCATACATATATGGAGTGAGATTCTCACTCCTCAATCCCCTTCTCTTCCCTCCTCTCTCACTTTCTTCTTTGTCTTCCCATCTCTATAAAAAAGTTAACACAAGATTTTGATGTGGTTTAATCATGACAATTCAAATAGAAGAAAACTAGAGCGGGGAGTGGGATTTGAAAGAGAAAGAATCTTACTCCCATATAACACCGTTTACTAGTGAACCAGTTAAAGCCAAAAGTAATTGAAATAAACTAATTTCCAATCCGTTAGACAAAAATTAATTGAAATAAACTAATTTCCAATCCGTTAGACCAAAAAAAAAAAAAAAAAGAAAAAACTAATTTTCAATCTCTCAATTTAATTAATGAGGTAAAATAAATCGAAAAAAAAAATTGAACTCGAACTTAGAGCATGTGGCTATCGTCTAGTGAATCGGTAGTACATTTTTGAAACACATAGGAAGCATTTACATGACGATGACGTGACCAAGATTAAAAAGTTTCTTGCGTAGCATGTATAAACCACTTTTTTTTTTTTAATTTCATACAATGATATTAACAACACAATGGACCAATCATAAATAAATATTGAATTCAACATACAAATTATATTATATCGCATTCATGTGAATCAAACCTAAAAACCTCGTTTACAAGTGAACTTAACAAAAATCACTAGAAGACGCTAATTGAATTTAGATATGGAATTTCGGGTTCCACAACCTCTTCAGTTATCTCATTTACGTCTAACGTATGAATTGTCAAGGATGTACCCAAAAATACCACCTTTTAGGTGTCGTTCAACTAGTGGCCCCGAATACAGTTAAAACAAGACTTAAACATTATGTCAAGACATAAACTAATTTTCCCCATATTCCCTTTACGGCTTTACCCTCCTCATTTCTTTTAGCCTAACTCAACGTAGAAATATCCCTTATAATAAATAAAACCAAACAAAGCAATGAATTTTTTCCTACTTAATTTCATTTATATTCTAATTTTCAAATTTAACACATGTAATTCTTTTATAATTATTAATTTTTTTGATTATTGGACTATTCTTTGGAATTAAATTTAATTTCAATCAAACAAAAAAATAGGGGTGTGATATCCACACCCCATTTTACTTCTCACACATCTTTTTAAATTTCAGCCGTCGGATCGGATGAATTGAAGAAGATCAACGAATATAAATTATCAAGGAATGTGTGAGAAGTAAAATAGAATGTGTAGATAACGTCTAAAAAATAAACTAATAAAACATAAGACCGGAAAAATCAAGGTGAAGTTAAGGAACGGTCCATACGCCGTCGTTAGAGCGGCGCGCGCCATAATAAAAAAAAACGTGTGCTCGATTTCAGAAAACGACAAATATTGAGGGTAACCGACTTAGCAGGCCCAACGGCTAGTTTCCTTTTCTTTTGTCTCCAAGGAAATCAGAAACCCTAACCCTACCTCCTATAAATATACACTTTCCTATTCCGATCGAACAGTAATCGAGCAAACACCAGAGAACTACTTCACTGCACTCGACTTGATCCATCACATCACATATCAAACGTCTGCAATGGCTAAATTCCGTCCTCCGCCGGGTTTTCGCTTCGATCCCGCAGACCAAGAAGTCTTCATCCTTCTCAACAAGATCGTGGTAGAGAAAGACCCTTTGATGGCGGGATACGACAGCCATATCCACAAGTGCAGTTTGTTTGGGCATAACTCGGAACCATCTGAGATCTGGGAGCGCTACGGAGGAGATCAAGTCCGTGGCCAACAAATCTTCTTCTTCTCCGAGCTCAAGAGGAGCCGTAAGAACATCAGTCGCAAGATGGGGCATGCTGGTACTTGGAGCGAAAGTGGGTCGAAAGAGATTGAGGGCCATAGAAACCCTAATCCTATCGGTAGGAAAAGGAAATTTCGATTCGAGAATAAATGTAAGTCAGAAGACCACGGTGGGTGGCTTTTAGAAGAGTATAGTCTTTACGATGCTGCGGCTCATGATTGTAGTGACACAAAGGCCTCAAAGAATCGTTATGATTTTGATTTCGTGATATGTAAGATGAGAAGGAAGTCCGGTGAGAACAAGAGCAAGAGTTCGGATGATCAGAATACGAATAATGTTGAAGAACCGCAAGAAAGCTGCTCCACTCTAATTACTAACATTGATCACCTCGTGCTGCCACTGCCTGATGAGAGCAATAAGAGGAAGAGGATGACTGATGTTGCTTATGACGATGATCCTGCATTATTGTTTAATGAGGACATGCTAATTACTAGTCCTACTGATTCCATCAGCATTGAGGAACTGTTGGCGCCCCTAGATAGCGAGTCTGCGATAGCGTCATCAGAAAATCTGTCACCTGATCAAATGGCTGAAACCCAAGAAGATGTGCCTTTGCCGACTGTTGGCTATGCCTGGCCTGGTGCTGATGATGGAGGACCGCTTGAAACTTACTATATTCCAAGTAATTACTATCCATGGGAAGATCATCAACCGAAGGATCAGAATGTGAATGTGATCAACAATGTCGAAGAGAGCAATGATATATTATTCTTTGACGATAACATGCTGCGTAGTAGTCATATTCCTACCTTTGACGCTGAAGATATCTTCGCAACGCTTGACTTTGACCATGATCAGAAGGATGGAAACCAAGAAGAGCAACTGCCTGTGCCAACTGCTGGTTCCGCCCAGCTTGCTGTTGAAGATGGAGGACCAATTGAAGCAAACTATCAGATTCCGAGCAATTTCTTTCAGAATTTGTTAAACCAACCATTTGAAGACAGCACCTACAACTACTGTTCCGATAGGTTTATCAATGAGCTAATGGGATTTTGAACAAAAGGAGTACTGATCTGTATAGGAGATTATGGAGAATAAGATATATTGTCAAAGTAATCATTGCTGCAGCAATATTCACTACTGCTTGTAGAACTTGGTTCATAGTGAATGTTTGTACTAAAATTTTGACGAATGTAATTTCTTTTCGTAGTACATACGAACATATGCAATGTTTCTAAGTTGTTCATGTTTCTAGTTAATTTCTACATGCAAATTCATCGATATAGATTCAAACGATGAAGCCTGTCAAATTTACTGTTAATCTGGTTTCCTTTTAGTTTGCACGACAAAAAGTCATTAGGAAAAGCACACAAGAATTGCCAGACAACTAGGCTCTAATAAGCGAGTGAAAGGAACTGCGCCCGACAATATGAGTAAACAGACCTCAGAAACACACAAACACAACAGTTTATGTAAATCAATAAGATATGTTCCATCTCTCAACTAACTTTAAATACAGTCTGCCGCAGATTTCAGCAGTCTCCGGAAGACATGAACTCTGACATAAACATTGAGCTCATTTACTCTACAAGCTTCTACGGAACAGCTGAAAAGAAAGGAAAATAACATCAGGTTATAAGAACCAAATATTTTCGTGGGAAAGTATGCATGCTCTGCTTGAGTTGCGGTACACTGAAATGAAGGCTTCCTCTGAGAAGAAGTTTGATATTGATGCATCATGATTTTAGACCATCATATTTCATGGAACTTTGCGGTTTTGTCTCAATTAGTGCACTATATATGGTCTTGGGGGATAGGTTGTCCAAAATGAACGGTATTGACTATGTGGCATGTGATGTAAATATTTTTTCTTTATATGAAACAATCATGTGTTTTTCTTATGTTAGATGAAGGTGATGAAATTCTACCATAATCATGTCCTTAGTTTTAGTTATTCTTTGTTTTATATTCTTTTTTTCTAAGTTCTTTTTTTCTAAGAGACAAGTTTATAATTTTAGATACAATCTAGAGGTTATTTTAGAAATAATAGTGGGTGGAGAAATAACATTTCAATTTTTAACCTTTTATGGTTGGTGAAATTATAATATATGTGAGAAAATAGGACACTGAAGTGGGTTTAGCAGTTTTCAAAAAATACTTCTTAAAAAGTACTTAACAAGTGTTTCTCTACAACCCAAAATCATTTTAAATATTTTCTTCTAAATGTGGTCAAAAGCACTTTTTATTTTAAATAAGTACTTGGTGCATATATCAAATTAAAGGGTGCATAGATCCATTATACGCAACCAAATTACAAGGTAGAAGCCCATCATTTTGACCCATCATTTTGACTGAGCTTTGGCCCATTACCAGGCCTACAGCTTCTGCCTGAGCTTTGGCCCATTACCAGGCCTACAGATTCTGCAAATCACCACGGTCGGAGAACTGACAAGTTCACAACGTAACAAATTCTGATTCAACAACAAAAACCCTACAAAATCTTTGAATTTGAATTTCGGGTTTTGCACAGTGAGATAGAAATTATGAACCGATTCAGCCGATCTTCCATTTTCGCTTCTCAAATCGTGAGGCCCAATGAGAGCAATAAGCTGTTAAATCTCACATCGTCTATACTTAAAGATAAGTAATAGTTTAAATATCATAACTCCACTCTAACTAACACTGAGACCTTTTGTGATAAAACCCCACACTTGACGGATTGTGCAGATGGTAATTACCAAGTTACGGACAATATCGATGTTGTTGGAAGTGGGTCGTATAGCCCGTCTCTCTGATAATTCTACATGGCATCAGAGCCAGGGAACGGGCTCGTATTGTACTGCCACGTGATGGGTGGGTCCCCTTGGCCCAGCGTGTAGGGTGAGTCCCCTTGGCTTCACGTGGTTGTCGATATGTGGATCTTCCACGTGTGACCCACTAATTAGGTCCCACGTGAGGGGGCGTGTTGAATCCCACATCATCCATACTTAAAGATAAGTAATAGTTTAAATATCATAACTTCACTCTAATTAACACCGACGCCTTTTGTGATAAAACCCCACACCTGACGGATTGTGCAGATGGTAATTACCAAGTTGAGGACAATATCGGTGTTGTTGGAAGTGGGCCGTATGGCCCGTCTTTCTGATTATTCTACGTAGCATCTGCTTTCAGCTTCCCAGCATTATGCTTTCTTAAGTCATGCTGATGGGGCATGATATTTGAAGACGCCTTTACTATATGCACTAAAAAGCAAGTTTCAGTGATGTCTTGTTTCAGTTTTTATTTAAGTTTGAAATGTAAATTTTAGTTTCTGTGTGTAGATTTATGTGGCAAATAAAACCATATTTCCTGCAATGGCAGCCGTAAAGTTTCCTGACTTAGAAGTGAACTACTCTGATGGAAAAATATTGAAGCTGCCCGTTCACTTCAATGGGAATGGAAATGTTGCTGAGGCCAACAAATTGGAAGTCCCCAAGGCATCTTTAGTATGCCTTTCATTTCGAGCAAGCTCCCAGGTATGCAATTGAGTTATTTTTGTAGTATTTTTATACTTGCAAATGCGCAACCTGTCTTGAATTATTTGCAATATTTGAGGAATTCTTATAAAAGACTTTTCCACTCTTACTATAGTACGTATGTATAGGACCTCTCTATCAAGAATAATAAGGCCAGTAGGACTGTGATGTGAGAAAAGGGAACCAGAAGGATAGAATTCTATTTTGCAATTTATTCATTCTCTTCTGAACATGGAGAGAAAAACTGTGTAAATTTTTTAGAAAATTCTCCGATTACAATAATGATAGTAAGACATGTCTAGGAATTGAATTGTAATCTTTCTATCGCCTATTATTGGATCCTTGCAAGTAATGGTTGTAAAGTCATCAAACAATGGCGAGGCACACCTCAGAAATTGGAAACATAAGCTGTACATGGGAGGTGAGCCAGGTGGCAGATACAATTGATCACTCAGTGTTTTTTTATTGATCTGGACAGTGAAATGCAATTGATCTTTATCCTAATATGCTGAAAGATGCATTTAAGTCATCCTTCTAGTAGGGGAAACCACTAGAACTTCCTTATTGATGTTAAGTTGATTTGGTGCTTACATAGCTCAAGAGTGTGTACTTTGTTCGACTGACCTGAGGGTGCTATCATTTTTCAATTGCCAATATTCAATCTTGTTAATATGTAAGCTAGGTAGCAACTTTGTAGTAGGTATTGGTACTTTATCATGGACATATTATGTTTGGTTATGGAATGCAGAATGTTAGTTAAACTTGTTATGTTATTGCATCAATGTTTATGGTTTTGTGTTACTGTTGTTGCTACAAAAATTAGTTTCTTTTTCCTTGACAGGGAATGATTAATTCATGGAGCGCCCCTTTTCTTCATGCTTTTAGTGGTTCAAGGGATGTTCGACTATATGAGGTATAAGTAGTTACATAAATCTTCATCATTGATTCAACTTTTTGCTTTTACTGTAGGTATTACCCGTTTGTGCTTTCATCTAACCTAGTTTCTTGAATTCTGTAAGTTTATATAGAGTTTCGTGCGAAGTGTGATGCAAGTGTGAAGTAAGCCCTCTTATTTAGTTAAAAATGGGTGCATCTAATGGCAACGTTTATTAGAAATTATCTTTAACGGGTTTAATAACAGCATACATTTTCTCAAATAAAGTTTTCCAGATAAACATTGTTTTGATTACATGTATAAAAACATGAAGGTTATCATTATTGACCTTTGTATTGTCTTACTCGTTTTCTTTGTATGTATGTGATGGAAATGTGGGACTTGCATGCAATCCCCAAGGACTAACATTTGTGTGACATTTCTTCTTCTTTGCTTTATTTGTTTTCTGTATTGATGGAGCCATAGGAGGAGGATGGTCACTTGTCCTCAATTTTGTTTGGGAATGTACTTGTGCTATAGTTATCTTTTCTCTCAACTAAATTGTAGCTTATGCATATAGCATACTGTGTTTGCGCACGCGTATGTGTGTGTTGTTGGGGAAGTGGCGATCAAAATCTAAGGCACATCAACCTTGTTCCTTTTCTCATTTTATTCTGTAATATATCACTTGGAAGTTCGTTTCACCATTATTATTAGTGCATTTAAGTTAATTAATGAAGCTTCCTCTAGGTATCATTAATAGACTCATGGTTCTTATGTCGGAGTCCAATTAAGAAGCTTCTGCTCCGGATTATGAGGAAATCAAAGCATCACGAAAGCACTGAACTCAAAAGGCAGATCGTATATTCATTTGGTGACCATTATTACTTCAGAAAAGAACTGAAAATGCTGAACCTTCTGACCGGGTATGAAAGCTTTCTTTTGCCGTTGAATTTGTGGTTCTGTGAGTTGTTGCTAGAGTATAATTTTCTTGACAACTTGCTTCTTGTGAATGTTTCCACCGAATAGGTATATTTTCCTGCTCGATATATTTGGTAGAATAAGATGTAAAGGCACTGGATTGGCAACCGAAGGGGAATCTTCGTCCCTTCTTTCATGCACAAAACTGCTTTTGGAAGAGAAATAAGGCAGTGCAAGCTTATCCCTTGATACATACATCTTGAGGTGATACGAGTTCATAAGTCAAGGATGCTAGACTGTAGCAATTCCACTCGCAATGCCACATTTCTGTATTTCGTGTTTAGTTTTCATACGTACATGTGGCCTTCCAATGCATTTTGCTTCTTTAGTTGAACCCCTTTTCGGGGGTGGGGGAGACGATTTTGTTCGAGTTAGAAATCTAATATGGCAATGATTTTGTCATAGGAAGTTCATTTGGGCTCCACCAAAAACTTTGTGAGGGCTAAATGTATCTCACTCGATGACTACTTGTAGCTCTTTCTGACTTTTTACAGATTAATTCTAGACACAGGCACGCAATTTTCAGTGGCTGTCCTCATGACCTTTATTGTACATATAATAAAATATGATGCATCAGAAGTCCATGGCTCCATCAGGAAAAAAAATCCTCTTATGATCCTTTCCATCAAATCTATCAAGGTTATAAATTAAAACTTTTAAAATTTGATTCAACGGTTACAAATATGAGCGTACTTTAAAAGTTATAATAACTTTAAACGTTGAATTAAATTTTAAAGATTCAAATTTGTAATATTGGTAGATTTGGTGGAAGAGATCTGAATAGATCCATTTCCCTCCATCAGGACTCATGCCAGTAGACAGTAGAGTCATTTGGTCCCAACAACTTTTTCTTTTCTTTTCCTACTAAAGCCTAAAAAGGGAAATAAATCCAAGAAAAACAACAGAATTAATAACAATCCTCAGAGCGTTGGATGATAATTCCCAGTACCCACTACTGCTAATTAAGAATATAAAACTTGGAGAAAAAATGATACTCAATATTACGGTCTGGTAATATTCTTTTTTATTTGGAAGTGAGAGATCTTAGGTTCGAAACTCGCGGATAACAACAATTCGATATCAAATTAAGCTACCCATTATGTGGTTTTACCAAACTTCCTTCTTTAAATGTAAAAATAACGATGAATTAAAAAAAAAAAAACTTGGCGAAAAAATTGAAGCAGAAGAAAATAATTCTTTAAATGTAAAAATAACGATGAATTAAAAAAAAAAAAAAAAAAACTTGGCAAAAAAATCGAAGCAGAAGAAAATCAGCATTAAACTTGTACAACTTTTAAAGAAATAACAGATAATTAATAATCAACCACAACAGGAATAAAGAAATAACAGATAATGATTTTGCCGTTTACAACAAAACTACCCACAGAATTCCAACTTATACCTAATTACGGACTGCCCCTTCACGTACTTTAATCTGATTGGCTAACAAGAATGGAAATGAATTCCCTCCGGATCCATTATGCGGGGATCCTAATGATCCTCATATCTCAACCGTTCATCGTATCGTACGGTTCATCTCAAGAATTCTCTAAAGCTTTATGTTTGGGGGACTGTGCCGTAATATGTGGAAGTTTAGCTTGAATGCAGCATGCACAAGAGACAGGCTGGTTAGACGTACCTTCTGGCTTTTCCTATGCCTCTAAGGAAACGAGAAACCCTAACCTGTCATTATAAATATACATATTCTTCCTTCTGATTGATCCATACATTTTGATTTATTCCAAAATATGA